TTCAGACACAAGTTTGTCCCGGCACTCGGAGACGTTTTTCCGAGAAATATTGGCTCGGCCGGTGTAAAGAGCATCACCAGTGCTGTCATCTGCATAGCAATAAATGTTGCGGGTTTGCAACATATCATTGATATGCAGAAGAAACAGCGTTGGCGATAGCACGCAGCCTTGTGGAACACCAGCGTTAATAGGCTTGCAATTGGAGCTTGCACCGTCTACAACGACCTTGATGCTCCGATCTGCAAGAAAGCTGGTGATCCAATCACACAATTTCTCGGGAAGCCCATAGGAAGGGAGCTTCGAAAGAAGCGCTTTGTGCCAAACCCGATCGAAGGCCTTCGCAATGTCCAAACTAACCGCCAATGCCTCCCCCATGGACTCTACTGCCTCCGCCCATCTGTGAGTTAAGTTAGGTTAGACCAGAGATCACCAGCTGACCGACCACGGCGAAAACCGTATTGGCGGTCACTAATCAGCTGGTGATCCTCAAGGTACCTCATGAGCTGGCAAAAAAACTGTTTACAATGTAACTCCGTTGTTTTGGAGAACAAGGAGGTGATGGCGATAGGCCGGTAGTTGGACAGGTCTGAGCGGTCGCCTTTTTTAGGGATCGGGTGGACGAAAGCCGTCTTCCATGATTTTGGGACTACGCACTAGGGAGTAGAAGTACCGGAAAAGACGCGTTAAAACCGGTGCCAAATCTGCATACAGGTACGAACAGTTGAGAACTGAAGTAATAGAATTTATGAATAAAGAAAACATTATAGGATAAAGTATTCCGCCTTGCGGCACACCTGTTTCAATATCAGCCCATCTTGAGAACTCTTGTCCTAATCGTACTGATTGCTGGCGGCCGCGAAGATAGGATGAAAACCATTCCAAAGCTGGGATTGAGAATCTAATATTAGTTAGGAAGGCTATAAGGATATTGTGTTCGTCTGTGTTAAAAGCATTTGAAAAGTCAACAAGCACTACCACTGTAAGCTTTTGCTCATCCATTCCCATTCTAATATCGTCTGTGCCTTTTGTCAATACAGTGATGAATGACCTGCACGAAAGCCTGACTGATATTTATCCAGCAGATTGTGTTTGGTTATGAACATAGAGATTTGCTTGTGAACACAGGCTTCCAGAACTTTAGATAGGTATGGCAATATTGAAATTGGTCGAAAATGGGTAGGTATTGAGGGATTAGGTATTTTAGGAAGTGGTCGCACAAATGCTTTTTTCCACTGAGTAGGATATTGACCTAAGTCAAGGGAATGAAAAAACTCAAGGAGTCATAGTTAACCGCGGTTACGATAGATTAAAATTTAACTTTTGTTCCGATCTACACAGTACGAACTTATGGTATCATGGAGTCTTGCAGTTGTATGCTTGGGTTGGGATTTAATTTTATTTATTATAGGATCCCAAGCAGATGGTAGCACCCAGCCATCTTCTCTATTGAAATTAGGATGTTTTTTGATTTCAATAGCCTCGCGAATCATCCTTGGAAGGAATCGGTGTTCTTTAGCGAGGATTTGTGGTCTATCAAATCTGATGTAGTGACGGGGGCGATCCTGTACATGTTCACAAACTGCAGACTTCATATATTTAGTTGCTTTGTTTTTATCCACATTCTCACCTAATAACCACTAACTCCTTTTCCACCGGAAAGCCTCAAGACAAGGTGTGACAGACCGAAGACCGGACATTGGCAGAATTATTGTGACATTATCACAATACCAAGGGCCATATAGTTATTTAAAAAAAATGTAAATAATACAATTACCGTCAACATATTATGATAACAAACAAAACAACAAACAAATGAAAAACCAAAGAAAAAAAAGAACTTAAGAACTGAAGATACAATCAAACTGCCGATAGCAGAGGAATTATTTTTTGGGCACAATACGACGTGTCTTCATGCTTTCTACACTTTGAACCGCTGGGATGACTTGTCTACGCCTGGCCCCACCTTGCTGACAACTGGTTTCTAATGGGCTTTACTGCGCAGTGACAGAAGGAGAATTAGGCTAGGGCCATTTAGTAAGAAGGATATCAAACTCTTCCCCAGAGGAAATTTTTATGCGGCTACTACGGGACTTTCCATAAGTCCAAACATTCTTCATGCCGAAACGTCGGCGTGCCTTCTTATATGTACTCTGTCTCATTTTAGTGCGAAACTCCGGTACTGTGTATCGTGTATTCTTTAATTTTACCTTAGATCTCCAGACTTCAGATTTAGTATCATGACTTTGGAAATGAACAAGTACATCTCTTGTCCGATCACTGCCCGGAACTCCCAATCGATGACAGCGCTTCAAGGAAGAGTTGCTTATATGTGAAAGGCCCAATTTATTATGAACAATTGCAAGTACCTCATGTTCCACATTTAATCCAGACTCTTCAGGAATACCATTAAAAAGTAGTACCATACGCCTTTGTCGCATATCTATTTCATACATAATACATACATAAACACTCACGCCTGTCACCCAGAGGGTAGGCAGAGACTACAGACTTCCATTTAGCACGATCCTGACACCTTTCTCGCCTCTTCCACATCCATATACCTACGCATACATGCTCGTCGGTTAAGGGTACTCTTAATTTGGCCCATTTTTAGTATATTTCCAATTTGGTCGACAAACTTCCGCCTAGGACGTCCCTTTCCGACTCTTCCATTCACTTCTGCAACATATATTTGCTTTGTCAGTCTTTCCGCATTCATTCTTTCTACATGACCAAACCACCGAAGCATTCCTTTCTTAATCCTGGTCACCGCATCATCTTGCAAACCACACTCTTCTTTTATCACACAGTTTCTCACCCTGTCGCTCAGATTCAGCCCTAACATACTCCTTAGTGACCGCATTTCTACTGCATTTATTCTAATCTCGTGCTTCTTCTGCCACACCCAACTTTCACTACCATAAGTTAAAGTAGGGACTAATACAGCACTGTGAATTGCCATACGTGCCTTTTTTGACACATTCTGACGTTTCGCAATAGTATCTATTTCATCAACTGCATTAGTACACCTCCGTCATTGTTGCTGCAGAAGACTAAACATGTTGCTCACTAAGGCTTTAAAAGCATAAAATTCCTCACTTAGCTGAACCAAGGTTGGATTTGATGGGACTAAAGCAGCTTTTAAGCATTTCTCAAACTCTGACATATTTTGCATCCAATCAACTTCAAGCTCCTTCTGCACCAGATCAACCTTGGTGACATTTGCCATCAAGCTAAATGGGGCTGTTGCAAGTAAGTTCTTAAATCTTCTTTAAACACATATGTTTATAATAACAATGTAAACAACAATGTGTTAAGTCACGGATTTGAAAGTAATTGAACTTAAATTAGATATTAAACTATTCTTAATTGAATAAATAAAACGGAGCTAACAAATCAACTGTTGACTTTTACACACTTACCTACTATATAATATAGCAGACCACCCCAGAAACATTGATTGATTGTAAAAATGCTCATAAAGTTTTCTATTCATTATTTGTTAACACAATAGAGACTCCAACCATAGCAATCACAGTCATTCGAGACCTAACGTCCCTTGCATTTGGTAATCTCTCGTTATCCTAAATATTATTGTATTTTATAATCTAATATTTTATTCCTCTAGCTCTTGTTTAAAAAGTGGTTGAAATTTAGAATCGTTTTTCAGGAATTTGGGGGAGTAAGGTGTTTTGTTTGGTAGAGGTTTGGTCCCCGATTGTAATAATACCACTCCCATTAAAAGGTAATGCACCATTCTTGAGAAAAATCAAGAAGAAAATCCCATAGAACCAACCTTAAAATCATAACTCAAAATGAATTAAGGTTGTGGAGAGGGAGGCAGGGGAGTTGTAGAGTCGCCCCCCACTTCCACATCCTGCTGGACATGCTTAGTTTTTTTTATAAATCTTTATAAATTTAATTTTGAGGTTATATTTTTGTAATCTTTTGACTATAAACCTGATTTATGGAGGGAGAGAGTTGGAGGAGGGAACAACCAAGGAGTGCAGTCGAGAGAAGGCCGGTCGCTCGCGCTACCGGGCGCCGGTCTATTCGCTCGCTCACTCGACCCCATCATCCCCTTCTAACCTAACCTGTCCGAGTCGGGGTGCCCTAAGTCCCGAGCTCGCTTCGCTCGCTCTTGCACTCAACAAAACATCAAAATATTAGTTTTTATAATTATTTTAAATTATAAACTTAATATATAATACAATAATAACCACAGTACGGCTCGCACAGGTGTCTGCGATTTGCTACGGCGGGCGGGGCCTGCTCTCCCTCCACACCTACGGCTTTACAAAAACACTTTAGGAGTAGGGCAGACAAGACTACGTGATTCGGGGCTTGCTGATTTAATTTTAGTACAGATTCGATCAGATCAGATATCTATAGTCAGGTTGCCTTTGCTCCCGCCACAGACACAAAATTCTGTATGCTATCCAGCTTTCACAGTAACTATCGGCCCACTACTACTAAACTAGAACCCAGAGCCGTAAAGTCAATTAATAATAAAAAATGTATCATTTTTCATACTTTACGTATTTTAGGTTATAATAGTTTTTATTTATTTTTTCGATAATGGTGCATTACCTTTTAATGTGAGTGGTATTATTATAATCGGGGACCAAATTTCTACCAAATAATACACCTTACTCCCCCAAATTCCTGCCAAACGATTCTAAATCCAACCCTAAAAAGTATTTCTGTGACCCCGACTTAAATAGTACGTTGTACCGTGTGGTGGCGATGTCTTCGCCATCCCATATTGTCCCGCGGGTGTCGTAAGAGTTGACAGAGGGAAACAAACGAGGAGATGGACAGCAGCATCTTCCTAATAACAACTACAAAACTGCGGCTGCCCACTCGCCTGCTGAGCGTGGTAATTCCCCTTATGACTCTATCTATGGGGGAGGCTTATGTTTAGCAGTGGATATCGTTAGGCGGTTTTAGCATGTATCAGTGGAAGTGGTTACTGAGGATGTTGCTGTATTGTGTTGCAGGCTGATGTTCTGGTCGGAGTGGGGCGCGGCGGCGCCAGGCGTCTGGCGCGCGGATCTGAGTGGTGGGGCTGGTGTAGGAACGGTGGGATCTGGGGGGGAGCGGCGTGCGCTGGCCGCCCGCCGGCTGGTGTACCCGGGCGCACCCGCGCTCGACCTGACCGCGCGCCGCGTCTACTGGCCCGACGCCTACCTTGAGTGCGTCGAGCGCGCCGACTACGATGGCAAGCATCGCGTCACCGTGCTGCGCTCATATAGCGTGAGTGTATTGTCATTTTGCACCATTGTGCCGGTGTATACGGACATAATTGATATGACATCATTATCGACCTATCATGGACTAACTTTAATATACTTTCGCCTTCGTTGTTTTAAAAGTAACGTGCTACACATTATACACGCCTCGTTATTAGCATTATAATATACACTACATCTAGATGGTTAGAAAGAAAGGGTGTCTAAAAATCAAAGGCATGTAGAAGCGCTGCAGTGACTCCACTGTGAATCGCTAGCCGCGCTGCTACAAGTTTTCATACAATATCTAGAAGCGCGGTCGTAGCATGCGTATCGTGTCGCCCAAATTTACTGAAGTGTAATGGACGTGTGCCTACTGCCCCACAATCGGGCCAAAATAGCGCTTCTCTTTAGTAACGTCACTGCAGCGCTTCTACATGCCCTTTATTTCAAGAGACCATTTGTTTCTAATCATCTAAATAATACACAATTATAAAAATGAGGCATGTGCAATGTGTAGCATTTTGTTATGTTTAATTTTGAGACACTGGTGGCGAAAGAATATTAAAATTAATTCATTGTCGGTCGCGCGCTGGACATTTTCTTAGTATAACGGACATAACATATTTTAACAACTAAACTGTAAATTTAAGTGACTGTAAACTTAAAAAATTAAGTGAGACTTTTAACTGTGATAAAAAAATTACAAACTAGAACTAAAAATTAAAACAACAATCTTTAATTATCTTTCAATAAACATTTTTACCAAACTTGTTTCATTATGTAGTAATGTTTTCAATTTTTTATATAACTTTAGTTCAAAATTTTTACTAGAAATACTGCGAAACTAAACATTTCATATGGTCCTTCGAGCTGGATATAAACCAGCAATCTATGAATACTTGTCTTGTTCCATTATGCCGCTTACTTTTATATCTGATGACGTAGTTGCGCAGTAGTGAGTTAGTGTGACGTGCGCAGAGCCAGCGGCTGCAGCGTATCGCGGTGCTGGCGGGCGCGCTGTTCCTGCCGGGCTGGGAGCAGCGCGGCGTGCGCGTAGCGCCGGCCGGCGCGCTGGCGCCGCGCTGGCCAGCAGCCATGCTGCCGGTGAGCGCGCGCCCGCTAGCAGTGCTCGCCTTCCACCGCCAGGCACAGCCCAAAGGTTTACATTTATATAAAATTATAATTGTACAGCAAAACGTTAACCCTTTGCAATACTTCGCATACGGACTAATTTAAATTAAATAATTTTTCCCCCACCTAGCCTGCTCCTTTTCAATCCTATTCTCCACTTATAGTGACGGTTGGACGAAGGAGGTACTCTTTTATTTCTCTATTTTCAAATAATAGACAACAAACCTACTGATAAACATAAGCTTCCCCAAGAAATTCCACAACACACAGTCCCGAGCCCCCTGCATCCATCGACTTCGCAACATCGCTTCGGGTGTCGTCTTACATTTCGTCTACTTGTACGAAGCTGTCACACGAAAATCTTTCTTCCCTATCGGTTGTCGATTCTTCGAGCTATATGGCCGGCCCATTGTCACTTCGTATAATATTCCTTTACTAAAGCTTATACCCAAATAGTTTTATGTGTACTACTAGACCCGCAGTTCTGAACAAAAACTGTATCAAAGCTGTGGATATATGTAAATACGCAACGTAGGTTGTATTTTTATTTACGACAGTTTCTGTTTTCAAGAAAATACGAAATAAAGTTACATACTTAACTGAAGCAAACTTCAAATCACTTTGACAAAGTGCGCACATAAATAATGACAAGGTTTTCTTAGTCACATTAAACGAAATTAGTATTAGATTATCAAAAACAACGTTCGCGATATACAAAACACAGAACTAATCTCCTTGGCCGCTCGAAGTTGATTAAAGGACCTACGGAAAATTGTAACTAACAGTAACAACTAATACTATAAACGGTTTTGTGCAGTGGCGCATCCGTGCGCAAAGAATAAGGGCGGCTGCGCTCACATCTGCATAGTCGCGTATCGCGACGGAGTGGGAGTAGCGCAGTGCCTGTGCCGTCACGGGTTCCGGCTAGCAGGGGAACGTGATTGTGTGCGTAAGTATTTTTTTTCATGACATACCAAACTATATTATGATATTGTAACCTTCGGTAAAAGCTGAATATAATTGTTCCAAGGCAATGAAAGGCAAGACATAAGTCGATTATAAGAAGTATTATTAAGATAATTGTTGACTCAAATGGTATTGGGTATAATATATTACGATCCATAATTGATACTACTACTTACTGCAAGATGTTTGTAGGGTCATTTATCGGAAGATCTTATGACTTTCTCGTCGTTCTCTTTGTTCGACACTTACGTCAGACAGCCTTAAGATAAAAATCGGCGCGTGGCTGTGTCCTGGACACGGCCGTGTGTTTTACGTGAATACGTGTGCGTAACGAGGGAAATTCTGTGACGCAACGAAACAATCTGGAAATGGCGGCGTTTCCCTTTGCGCTGCGCGCGACCCGTCACAGTCTTCACTTGACGTAACTAATTCATTGACGCTTTAGCTGTCGAGTGGTATGATATGTGTGGCTGCAACACCAAACTGTTTCCATGATTTAGGGAGTAAGGTTGAGTATATGCGTGCATACGTGTGGCAGGCGCGGAGCTGGACAGCTACTTGGTGGTGGGGCGCGGCTCGCCGGCCATGGTGCAGGCGCTGGCGCTGGACACGGCGCACGCGGGCTGGGAGCCGTTGGTGCCAGCCACGCGCGCCGACCGACCAACCACCGCTGACGTAGATCTGGAAGACCAACGCCTCTACTACTGCGACGTGCACAGGTACAATTGCAATTGCAAAAAACGATAATTCGGTGTCAATTAAATATTTTTTTTTTCATGTAGTTTTACAGTCTGGAAGTACCCGTAACATCATAACAACCTGTTAATCCTTAATTGTCCTGACTAAGCTTTTGATATTTTAGATTAATCGTAAACATGCACAGAAATCGTAATAATAAGACAACAGAAGTTGCATAGACGCGTGACCTTGTCGCCGCTTTGATGTGTTGACGTATTCGACGTTGTCGTGTCACGTCCTACGTGAATTTATGTTATTGTCATAGATTTAGTATACAATGTGTCCGGTTTCCGATGTCCGATACTTTAAGGGGTTAAAATACAATTAATTTCATCGACAAATAAGGGATCAATGATTTTTTTTCGCCATCAATAAAAAAATGGCAGCACTTTAAAAAAATTGTTGGCGAAGCATAGATGCTTGTATAATTTAAAATATAATAATTAATTTAACAATATATCTACCCAAGTAGAAGACTTTCAAAAACATAATTGGTCTCAAATGTTAGTTAATAGTGTAGACAATAAATCTAGATTCAAAATATTATTTTTTAATTTTTCAGTATTAGTAAAAAACATTTTTGAAAAAATAAATTAGACAAAAAATTGATGTTGTTTTTCAGATTCTTAGCTTTAAAAAAAAACCATCGTGTTAACCAATTTTTTTTACTTGTTTTTATTATAATACAGGATATTTGCTATAAATGCACATTTAAATCTTAACTCTAATATAATCTAATCTAATCTAATTGGATAAAAGAATCTCGCGACAATGTCCGGGGGGGTAAATCTTATGTACAAAATTACTTTGTACTGAACTGTTACGTTAAAATACTAAAACAAAACAAAAACGTAACAAAGTCTAACAACAAACAATAATTATGTACAGTAAGTAGATTTACTTAAAACCAGGAATGTTATCACAACGCAGAGCGAGGGACGACTGCTCGACGGCACAAGCGCACACTGCACCCTTTTTTACCTGGAGACAGCCGTTATTCTGTCTCGCTCGCACTGTTGTGCACAGCGTTTTTTACCTGCTCACACAAAGGATGCTATTGTGCTTGCTTACGATTCCTTGAATTATTGAAGAATTTTATCTTACTCACTGGAATGGGTGTTTAGTTATCTAATATCGGGGTAGAGGCACTTTGAACAATTACATTCAAATTATCATAGCTCCTAAACTATCTAACTCAGAGTTAAGATTTAAATGTGCATTTATAGCAAATATCTTGTATTATAATAAAAACAAGTAAAAAAAATTGGTTAACACGATGGTTTTTTTTAAAGCTAAGAATCTGAAAAACAACATCAATTTTTTTGTCTAATTTATTTTTTCAAAAATGTTTTTTACTAATACTGAAAAATTAAAAAATAATATTTTGAATCTAGATTTATTGTCTACACTATTAACTAACATTTGAGACCAATTTTGTTTTTGAAAGTCTTCTACTTGGGTAGATATTGTTAAATTAATACAAGCATCTATGCTTCGCCAACAATTTTTTTTAAAGTGCTGCCATTTTTTATTGATGGCGAAAAAAAATCATTGATCCCTGATTTGTCGATAAAATTAATTGTATTTTAACCCCTTAAAGTATCGGACATCGGAAACCGGACATCCCTGTATACATAAGTTATATCAATAAAGCTTATTATTATTATTATTAAAAGGGCATAGTACATTTTACGTTAGAACGAGATAATAATAATAATAATAAAAGCAGACAAGCAAACAAAATATCTGGACCTGGCTCACGAGGTGACCGACATGTGGGGTGGTCTGCCGACCGAAATTATTCCTGTAGTCGTCTCTGCAAACGGGCTAATCCCAGTCAGCCTCTCGGGTCATCTGAGGCGACTGGGACTCCGTGGCGGACCGCTCCGGGCTCAAATGCAGAAGGCGGTGCTCCTCGATACCGCCCGCATCGTCCGCCGGTTTCTTTCCCTTTCCCCCTAACCCTCGGCCGTTTGGTCTCCCCTGCCGAGGGCTTCCATCTGGTTGGGCTTTTATTTATTTATGTATTTTTAGATTTATTTTCTGTTATTGATATTTATGTATATTTATCTTTCCATTTTCATTTATAATTATATATTTATAGAACCCAACCAGATGAGAAAACTATATAGATACCCCAAAATAATAATAAAAGGCAAAAAAATAATAAGGCGTAGGGAAGTGACGACCCCATCGCCCGCTGATGTAACAGTTATGTGACAAAACTGCTACATATATGTGCGTCGGCGCAGTCAGTCAGCACCCTGCCAAGAGGTGTGAGCGCCGTGCCTAGGTAAAATTGTGGGTGCAAAGGTCCGTTTGTGCATATGACCGAACTACGAAACGGTTCCGGGCTTGGGCGTCTCCCGTTATTTGGCGCCCATAAAATGGATGATGGCACAAAGAGTAATGCGTATAGGGCCGCTGCCTGGGGGTCGCCGGGGCGCGTCTGGAGCTGGCGCTGGACGCGGCAGCATGCGGGCCGCCAGCCGAGCGCGAGGAGCTGCACGGTCACCTAGCAGCGCTTCGCATCCATCATCCCCACCAGAAGGCTTGGTGTCGGCTGGGGTCTTCTCGGACTCAGCAAGCGGCACTCGCCGCTGGTGAAGCACGTCGCATGCGTTGGTCACAAACAATGAACGCAAACGCACTGCGGGCGTACTTTTGGGGCAAAAGGGGAAGAAACTGGATGTTTGGCGTATCGGGCTAGGATGCATCGTCTTTTTGCTGAGCTGGAGCCATCTTTAAACGTCACAGAGCAAAACCTGGCAGACCGAGTTCAGTATATCTTGCGCTCAAATATATTTGATGTCGCCGAACTCGAACGGCTACGACGTGAGGCTGTTCCCTCATCGGATGAAAATGCCACGGCTGAGGATGCGGCGCCGCAAATTGTAGAGCAACCCGCAAACGTGGATGCCGCCGTGAATACCCCAGTTGTGGTTGATTCAAACGATGGTGGAACAGTCGCCCAGTAACTAAAATTAGAGCATATGAGGAGTACATTGGAAGAGGCGATTGTAGAAACGCGCAGTACGCCTGTCGAAAATCGACCACGACTTCCCCGCATAGCCCTAAGCAAGCGGAATCGGGCTGTCGTGAGGGCTCTGAACTCAATGCTGGTGACCTATTTGGAAGCCAGCCGGGACCTTTGCGAGACGGACTCAATTCTTTTTGGCGCCGCGCTGGCAGTGTGCCGTATCATAGGCGCCAAGGTTTCCACGGCTGGACGCGCTACTGGCTAAAGTAGCGCTATCCCAACATGGAGAAGAAGAATTGAGGAACGTATCGCAAAGGCTAGAGCTCTCATCGGCGGACTCATATGCTTCAGATCAGGCAATGACAGGCCAAGAATTGTGCGCACCGTCAGGATGGCGTTTGCTGGGACAAATGTCAGTTTGTCCCAGCCGAGAGATCGACACGGTTAAACCAGAATCGTCTGTTCCAGAGTGATCAGAAGAGGCTTTATGAATCATTGGAGCACAAACAACTTTCGGGATTATCGGCTTCGCTGGTCCAAGCTATTCACTCTTATTAAATTTTGTCTACTATACTTTATTGTGTTGTTGTTTAAAGTTTATATAATATTTATTGTGTACATTTTATACGCTAGATACGAGATCTTACGCCAACGTCTGGACGGAACAGAACCGGAGATATTCTTAAACGAGGATGTGGACAACTGCGAGGGAATTGCAATTGACCCGATTGGTGAGTCTTATGAGTAATGTTTACTAACAGAGGAAATCATATGTGATCCAGATTAGATTACTTTGTACTTTGTTTCATAAATTCCGAATATGTGTTGCAATTGCAACGTGTTTCATCTGCCAGCTTTGTAAAATGAGGAAATAACAAAGAATTTTTTTTAACTGCTTATGGTCATAATGATTCATTATATTGACGCGAACACTACACATTTAATCAAATCGCGTTTAATCAACTACTAATTCATTCATTACAGTCTTTCAAAACCAACTGCTAATAGGCCTCCCCGTAGGTTGCCTCATACGAAGGATATTTTAATGACAACCATGGGATGACGTGGGCTAGTGACTGGTAAACTTCTGGCGCCGATGTCGGCGCGCTACAAGCGAAACGAACCGAAGCCTAAATCACGCTATCAAAGTTTCTAAGTATTGCGATATATATATATATATATATATATATATATATATATATATATATAACAGATCTATACTTACACACGGATTGTTGGCCGTTTTCCGCCCAAGATCTAAAAATCCAGAAGGCCGAGTAATTAATATTTTGTGAGCTGGTGTGAGTGTGCTGGTGTGTGTGGCAGGGCGCAACGTGTACTGGACGGACGACGCGCTGGGGCGCGTGTCGGTGGCGCGGCTGGGCGCGGCGCGCGCGCGGCGCGTGCTCGTGCAGCAGGACCACTACAACCCGCGCTCCATCCTGCTCGACCCACCCAATGGGTATCTCAACTGTTTTCCTTAATCTTTCACTAATCACTTTCTACTTTCTTACGTACATTGTGTATCTAGTCTCGAATGATATAGGCACACATATACAGATGTATTAATAATGTACTGTAGACCGAATTTTGGTCACGTTGGATAGTCTCAACGGCGACTAGCCATCTGTGCAGAACAAGATTACAGTGCTCGAGTGTGCACAAGCACAAGTGCAGAGAGATGTGCGGAGGACTAACGGCTTTACGTGCTTTCCGATGCAAGGGGGTGAAAAGCGCCAACTTACTAACCTTGGGCTGCTACTGTGAATTTTTTGACCTAAACACCCAATAACTGCTTTTTTTGACGCGATCGTGACCGGCTTACGACCACTAGGTCACCGAGCCGTCATGTTAATGTACACGTGGCAACCAACACAAGGCTTTTATAATATTTATTTTTTTAGATTAGTGACCTATCAATAATCTCATATTACTACTCATTCGACTATAATTATTTATATTTTATATGTTATTAGGGTATTAATAGGGGGATATTTAGATTTAAGAGCGCGGCGAAAGTGTAATTCCTCATACAAGCGTAGGAGTAAAAACCTTTTTAGATCAAACTTGTGTGCATAATTTGTGATAATTTTTTATAGCATTGGGTGACAAATGAGCACACAGTCCACCTGATGAGTCCATGGGAGTAGATGCTGTGGCCCATAGACATCCACATTTATCTTCAATTAGGAATCAAAATTTAATTGCGTTGTCACTCCTCAGGACTAAGATGGAATGCCTCGATTCTAGTAAAAAGGGTCTTCGGTTCTCTACGCTCACCATACGAAACACAGCAGCATTAAGCTGCTATTTCACGCTGGTATTCTGTGAGAGCGTGGTCCTGCCCCGGTCGAGCCGACCCATTCGCGCTACAGCTGTAATATATCTGCAGCGTGGCTTGATATAAAAATAATATTTGAATTAGAGTAGTGACTATCTAGATTCCTTATTGTTTCCTTTTCGTTTTACTTAATTTTTTTTTATTAAGACTTACCTCTTTATCTATTCCAGCCTACAATAGTCCACAGCTGACCATAGACTTCCGCCACCGGTTGTTTCATACTGGAGATATTGCCACAACTGCCATGCCTCTCTTGAGGAAGATGCTGCCCACATCCTGTTTCGCTGTTCCTTTGTCACGTCTTGCGATACTAACTGGGGTGACGGATATTCTCACACTGCCATTACACCGTTTAATTTATACCTAACCGTCTTGATCCAACTAATATTATAAATGCGTATGTTTGTTCAATTACGTAAAAACTACTGAACTGATTTTGATGAAACTTGGCAATATTATAAATATCAAATCAGAATAGAACATAGGCTCTGTTTTATTTAAACTATTTTTAGTCTATCCTATAATAAAGTCTATCTGTTTATGTAATAAAGAAAATGGTCGATTTTCGAAACACGAGCGGAGTCGCGCGTAAAAGCTAGTAGTTTATAAATTTCTAATTACTGGCCACAGTCTCATTATGCAAATGATACTAAACATATAGTCAATATTACTGGATATTTATTTTATTTTATTTAAATAAATATTCATGGCGTCCTCTACCAGTCTACTCCAACAGTGTAAATAAGATCTTACATATTTATGAAAATATTTTTGCTAGATGCAAGTCCGCTTATAATAGTTCCCATCACCTCCACGTAGTCTCGTTTTAGAATTTTTTAAAATGAAATTTTATTCTCCATACTCTTCTATTTAAAAAAAAAAGTAGTTACTTCCACACTAGGATCTCTCGTGTATCGTGCGGGCGGTTGGTATACATCCGGACTCAGAACAATTATTTGTAGGCCATAAAAATACTTGTTCAGTGTGGGTTTTAACTCATTGCTGACCCACTGCGTCAGGGTCGTCAGTATACTTATTGCTGACCCACTGCGTCAGGGTCGTCAGTATACTTATTGCTGACCCACTGCGTCAGGGTCGTCAGTATACTTATTGCTGACCCACTGCGTCAGGGTCGTCAGTATACTTATTGCTGACCCACTGCGTCAGGGTCGTCAGTATACTTATTGCTGACCCACTGCGTCAGGGTCGTCAGTATACTTATTGCTGACCCACTGCGTCAGGGTCGTCAGTATACTTATTGCTGACCCACTGCGTCAGGGTCGTCAGTATACTTATTGCTGACCCACTGCGTCAGGGTCGTCAGTATACTTATTTCTTAATGGATTAAGGGAGACAAGCGAGCGCACAGTCCACCTGATGGTAAGTGAATGCTGTGGCCCATAGGCATATACATTTATCCTCAATTAAGAATCAAAAAAGCGTAATCACTCCAGAGGACTAAGAAGGAATGCCTACGCTAACCATACGAAACACTATTTCATGCTGCTATTCTGTGAGGGTGTTGTTCTCCCCTGGTCGTGCCTACCAATTCGTGCTAAAACCATAAAAAGCGACAGTAGCCTAATGGCAGGACCCAGACCGCGAACTGAAAAAGGTCGTGGGTTCGAATCCACTAGTCGACTACTGGCGTGAATCGCTCGTAACACAAGCAATTTAAGCTTATCACGAGTGGTTAAGGGGAATATTAGTAATGTTTATAGCATTGTTAATATTCTTTTTTTTTAAATAATATTACTGCAGCGTATAACATTTTAGTGTATTTATTAAATTTTAATGACGTCTGTTTGTTGTGGTGTGCAGTGTGATGTACTGGTCTGTGTGGGCGAGCGCGGTGTCAGCGCGGGGCAGCATCGAGAGCGCATACATGGACGCGTCGCGGCGCCGCACGCTGCTCGACACCGACCTGCACTGGCCCAACGGACTCGCGCTCGACACCAACACCGACACGCTCTACTGGTAATACTGCCCTTCACCTCCACCCCCACCTACACTTGCCTGCACATTGTTTCACCAACAGTACTTTGCCTTCACTATTTTAAACGGTATACGTATATACGTACGTATACCGTATACGAAAAAATGTCCTTGAATGGCAGCCTTGTACCGGTAGACTGAGTGTAGAGCGGCCTCCACTACCTCTAGAAGTACACTGCTGAACACAGGCCCCCCCCTCATTAGATACCCTCATAGCGCATCACCTGCCCGGTGAATTGACAACTGCAGCTTTCATTATTTTGAGTTGTTATTAGGAAGATGCTGCCTCCCGTCTCCTGTTGCCAGTTACCCTCTATAATATATAGATTTTCTTAATCAATACTACAAGGCAATAAGATATTGTTATTTATAGAACCGGGCGTTACTTTGCGGTAATATGTTATATCAATGATGAAAATTAAATAGCTAAGATCCGCGTAATAATATAAAATAATGATAAATACCCCTCGGGGACAGTGGGGACACGCACTTGAGGGAAGGCAGAAAGAGTTCGTCAAACAGTTCTTAGCTTGTTGATTTTTAAACATCTTTAATATAATAAGGGTACAGTTTACTATCTAAAATGCGTTATCAAAACGGTAACCTCAACCAATTGCTTCTCCTCTGTGTACAGGTGTGACACATACTTGAATAAGATTGAGCGTTTGCGCATGAGCGCGGACGGTAACCACGTGCGCGAGCTTGTGGCGAAGGACGAGCCTAGCGCTCCACTGAAGAAGCCCTACGGACTAGCGCTCTATGAAGGTAAACATTTAGATATTTCTTATACCAGTAGATTATTTATAGATATTGTTTTAATTGGATGCAGCAAATTATTGTTCTTTTTTGTTATAACAATAATTAAAAACTTTTATGTCAACACAAATAAAAATAATGATTTCAACACAATGACACGAACACTACACATTTAAATGAAACTAGGTTTACGGATTTTATCGCGTATATTAACTAATTTTATATTCATATTGCCGACGTTTCGTGCACTTTACAGCACACATGGTCACGGGGGGGGGGGGTTGAGGTGTTCAACGTCCCAATTATGGAGTGTAAAGGTAAGCAGTACCTACCAACTCCCATAGGAGAGCAGTTGAAAAAGTGTCCATGTTTACGCCCAATTGTCTTATCTCGAGCGGGGTGAAGCACGGTTAGCGAGGTGCGGGAGGCGGAGGCTAGCTGCATCGTAAGCGCATAGACAGCGGACCTGTTCGCATCGAGCCGAGCTGTGGGGAGGTCGACGGCCGCGCGCGGTGCACGCGCCGGGACTCCGGCGTTAGCCGGCGTCGAGAACTTGTATTAAGGGAGCACGCCATTTGATTATATTATTGAATATTGGAATATAACCTAGACCGCCTCGAATTTAGTGTCTATTTTGATCGCGTTACGTGACAGAGGACGGCTAGGAATTTGTAGTGATTAAAGGACCTTTTATGCAGTTAATTGAATCGACGCGGTGGTAGTTTGTGTTACGTTGGCCTGTGACATTGAACTTTGACCAGTCGTCCTTGAGTTGTACCGCGTGTCTCGGTTAAACGTTGTTGGACTTGATTGGATTAACTTGAAGATAATTAATTGGACAATAAATAGTAAGTGATAAACGAACATAGTTTTCCTAGAAACGGAAGTGTTCTATGGCTGCATGCCCCTTAGATGGATCCCATATTTGATGAGAGGCGACGCCTTGGGATCTGCTGTTCTGCAACCAGCGGGGATGTCAGGTTACATATTGAACACGTACTGAACACGACTCACACATACCCACTATTCCGCCTGACTCTTCCTATGGTTAACCCTACTTCGACGGTAAACAATAAGTTTTGTTTGGTTCTTTGTTAGCCGCTATAGTTTAATATTCCATAGGTCTTTGGACCCTCCCCTTGTCTACTTGTCGAGTTGGATTCCTGATGGGCCCGAGTCTGATGACCTTTGTCAGGGTAGCCTGGGGCAGTAACAGTCCATCTGTAAGCAGTAAATAACAGTTCAAAAACTCTCCACTACAGCGCTCGAGTAGCTATGGGGTATGTTAAATCGTCGTAAAATACGTTGAGAGTGATTTTGAAAATAAAAATTTTGAAAAGTAGTAAAATAATTATTGTAAAAAGAATTATGGTGAAAGTCTGTGCATTAAAAAAAATTATAAAAAGTTCTTTAAAATTTAGACTGTAGCTACAGTGGCGCCACCGTTATTTAACGCTTTCCTACGGACATTTTTTATACAGAATCTGTACTCCTTACTTCTACACTCCTTACGCGGCCCAATGTCATAGTTAACTACGACTACCTCCAGATTAAAATTATTAATTTTTGTTCCGATCTACGCAGTATGAACTTCTAGTACCTTGAAATCTCGCAGTTGTGTGCTTGGGTTGGGATTTAATTTTATTATTTATAGAATCCTCCAAGAAGATGATAGCACCCAGCCATATTCTCTAGTGGAATTAATTAATTTCACATAATGATACATAATATATATACGTAAAAGAGCCACGCTGCAGCTATATTATGGTTGTATTCGTGCTGAATGGGTTGGCTTCACCACTTTGCAAGTACCACGCTCTCACAGAGTACTAGCGTGAAATATCGGCTTAGAGTCCCCGCAGACTACAGACTTTCTATCGGCCGATAATTTCGTCGGCTTCTTAATCAGTATGAAGAGGTATGCAAATGTGCACATTACAACGAATCCGTATCGGCCGATAAAAAAGTTTGACGGGCTTCACAATTGCCTTCAAACTAAACTATAGGCGAACTATCGGCCGACCGCTTGGTCAGTACGATGCTCTTCCCCGGCCGCACACTCGCCGATTACTTCATCGGCCGATCGGCCGATAGCTTCTGTTCGCTATGTGTTGGGTGCAGGAAAGGTCATGTGTGTGGGTGAGCGTGCATAATGGATTCGAATTCGTCGCTGCTTTTTGAAACGTATATTGAAAACTTAATGCAGGAAATTGAAAAAAGACCAGCGATCTATAAAAAGAACTTAAAAGAGTACTCTGATTTTTCTTCTCCTTTGTTTTGTTAGTTTTTTTTTTTAAGTTAACAATAATAATATTTCTGGGCATCCGCGTCTGATCTCTTCACCAAATCCATCGAATATATCAATTGGCCGACTGTTGGTTGGCTAGTCTGCGCAGCCACGTCCAATTCAATTGTTTTGTTGGCCCAGTGCTAGGAGTCCAATCCGATCAAACTATTGGCCGATAGAAAGTCTGTAATCTGCGGGGACTCTTAATGCTACTGTGTTTTGTATTGTAAGTGTTGAGAACCGGAGACCCATTTTTATCGGAAACGATGCATTCCATCTTAGTCCTCAAGGGTAAATAAGACATGTGCATTTTGATAATTAATCGAGGACAGATGAAGATGTGTATGGGCCACAGCACCCACTTACCATTCGGTGGACGTGTGCTCGTTTGTCACATTTATTCAACTAAAAAATACGAATGTTGATTAATGTTTGTGTATTGATGTCCGTAATGTTGGCATCGTGCCAGGTGCGCTGATGTGGAGCGAGCACGGCACCGGCAACATCAAGCGCCTGGACAGCGACGGACGCGTCTCGCTGCTGGCCGCGCTCGCGCCGCCGCTCTACGACATCCGCCTCGTCTCCGAAACTGCACGAATTGGTGAGAGCTATTAATCAATATAAACTTTATTGTACACCAAATAACATTAAAACGAAAACATAATGAAATAAATTATACAGAAGATACAATAGGCGGTCTTATCACTCCTGAGGACTAAGATGGAATGCCTAATTTTAAGTAAAAGCGGTTTCCGGTTCTCTACATATGGTGAGCATACGAAACACAGTAGCATTAAGGTTGCCCTAGTCGATAGCTCGAACTAAATGGTGGGCGGGGTTAAAATGCATGCTATCTCAGCCGACATCACGTCCGAAAGAGATAGACGCTGTGATGAGCAGTAAGAAGCTAGTGCGCACACACATACACACTCCTGAGTGACGCAAAGCGACGGCGTCATCGCGTAGCGCGTACCTACATATTGCGATTCTTTTTTGAATGACAACATAAACTCAAAGCGCAATTGAAAGCTCCTTGTCGCAGTGGCTTAGCAATGAGACTGCGCTGGGGGCCGCGATGTCGAATCCCGCACAGAACAAATATTTGTATGGCCTACAAATAGTTGTGCCGGGTCTGGATGTTTGTCCTTGTGCAATTTATGTTTGTAAACTGCCTCCACAATACTGGAGAAAATCCTACTGTGGAGGTAACGTATTTTAAAAAGAAAAAAGAGAGAGGAAACAAATTGGTGTTATTATTATGAACCCAATTTAGTTGTTATTATGAAAGTGCTTATGTGAATTTAAGTAGATGTTGTTATTATACAACATGTAACAAAAACCCTGTGGTTCCCGTTAACTGCGTTATCGGAATCAGTATCCAAGCGTATAGAAATATTTTTTTTTCAAAAAAACACATTCAAAAAAAATTAATATTAAGTATAGAAAAAAATGAGTTTGCAAATTGTGTGTGGTTTTATTTCCTCTACCTCACACGAGTATCGGTAATGCGGGGTCTTTGACAATCCTCTTACTCCTCGGCCAATACAGAGATAATAAAACATACAATTTGTAAATAATTTTTTTTTCAATAAAATTATTTTTTTTAAATGTGTTTTTTTCGAAAAAATTTATTTCTATATGCTTGGATACTGATTCTGATAACGCAGTTAACGGGAACCACAGGGTTTTTATTACATGTTGTATAATAATTTCATTGATTTGTTTTTACCTACTTTTTAACTGAAAAAAGGAGGCGGTTCTCAATTCGTTGTTTTTTGATTATGTATGTTCTGTTCATGGGGGGTATATTGCCATAGTTGCCACGCTTGACGAGCGGGTTGGCAACCGCAGTTTTTTTTGTCGTACAGTTGGACTTACCTAGTCCGACTAGGTAAGTCCAATCCACCGGTCAATAATAACTCGGCTGGGCAGCGTTCGGGAAATTACGACATATCTTCTCGTCAGGTATACCTCAATCTCTAAAAACTAGATTTTACAACCAGTGCGTGTTGCCAGTGATGACTTATGGATCTGAGACGTGGTCCTTCACTTTTGGCCGTATGAGTACGCTCAAGGTCGCTCAGCGAGCTATGGAGAGGGCTATGCTCGGAGTTTCTCTGCGTGATAGACTCAGAAATGAGGATATCCGCAGTAAAACCAGAGTGACCGACATAGCCCAACGGATTAGTAAGCTGAAGTGGCAATGGGCCGGCCATATAGCTCGAAGAACCGATAACCGATGGGGAAGAAAGGTTCTCGAGTGGCAGCCTCGTACCGGTAGGCGTAGTGTAGGGCGACCCCCCACTAGATGGAGTGACGACCTGGCAAGATATATTTTATTGTAGGTTATGCAAACATTACTGTAGGTACTATGTATTCTAAATAGGTATTTACTTACCATAGCTAGTTAGCCACCCACAGGCAACTCCCCGAAGTATATATATGCCAGCCAGTGTCAGGATAACTGCTTTTTCGACAGCGCGACTGATGTGAGTGGGGTTTTTATATAGGTTAATTAAATAAATAAAAATGTTAGTTTGTAAATTGTTTATTGATTGTTTGTGTTCAATAGCGGTTTGCAATATTCTCTTAGTACTTAGAAAATTAACAACAATAGGCATTGTGTCACTGCAGGGACAAGCACAAACGTCTATCAAAATAGTAACGTATATAAACGGAATACTAACAGCACAGACTTCCTTACAGAAGTCCAAAGAACACGTCTAGACAAGGTAAGTAATTAGAAGAAAACTACAATTTACAGATCGATTGTAAATCAAATTCACAGTACATCTGTACAATTAGCGAAATATAAATACAATTTTGAATTATTTTATGATAATAGATAACGCTAGTTGAAAACTAAACACTGTATGGGATTGACATCACTGAACTAGTCAGGTGGTCAGTCCAAACAAATAAAAGGCGCGATTGTAGAAAGAGATTCGTTACGAAACGTTTGTAGGCTAGGGGGCTTGGCCTGTTTATGCTATTGATAACGAAGGCTATAAAATATGTACAAATTAGAAACTTGTACTTATCTGTATTCATAACCCAATATCAGAGGTAGGTTGATGCGCTCCTTAATTCTTATATAGTTCGTATTATTCTGTAATAGGTAAATTAAATCTAAACCAAAATATATACTATAATACCATAGCAAAGCTACTACTATTTTATTTAGTAGTAGCTTAGTAGTATAGTAAATTATATATAAAAAATACGAGTATGTCTAAGGTAAGGTTAAATATAAACAAATATTTGCCAAGTGCGAATCCGACTTCCGAGCTTCCGTACAAATACTACTTTTATTGACAGAAAGAAGGAAGGAAACACATTTATTCTAGTTAATGTATACATTACAATATATGAAAAAGTAATAATAGATAAAAGACAAATGAACAGAAGTATTAACCACATTACAAATATGAGATACTTATAAATACCAGTGGTCTAAACCTGTAAAAATTAAACCAGGAAATGAACTGGTCTAATGATGCACTGTTTTTCAGTCCGGCCTAACTCCGAGGCAACTTAAGCGGCTGTGTGCACTTATGGTGGGTCGTTGTCGAATTTTTAACGGACCAAACGCATGCGTTTTTCTGATGATGAAAACGGTTACAGAAAACTGTCGTCGTTACAACTGGTTTGAAGACGGCTCAAAGGACGAAACTTATCCAACATGGAACAGAATTGCGTTTTCGTCAAATGAAATGGTTGCAGTTTCTTACAACTTTTAACGATTTATAATGTATGAAATGGCTTACTAAATAATTTGTTTTATTGATCGACTTTACTTAACGATGAAATGAACTTCCCTTTTAATTTTTCAGGCTTAGGACTGGCTGGGCTTAGCATTACCTTTCATATTAGTGACTGTATTTCATCGACAAAAAGTTCACTCTATATTTTTAAGACTGTTTAGTCTCTGTCTACGTTTGTAAGCAATATACCGCGGACCGTTAAGAGCGACGAAGCGACAAGTAAGATAGATAGTTGAATCATTGCATTTTCGACTGTATTTTCATAGGTGTAAAATAAAAAATCGCATAAGTAACTTGAAGTCTGGTTTGTGCAACGAAGACTGTTTGAACCCAGGACGTAAAACGGTCTCATCGTCGCAGAACACAAAACAGATTTTGTAAACGGTTCGTTGTCCCAACGCCCACCCCTATTGTGCACGCTCGCTCTAAACATATGCTAAAATTAAAAGAAAATATATATTACTGCAAGCTTTAGAAGTTTTTCTTGAATTACATTTCTATGATATTGCTGGAGCACAAGTTTACAGGCATCTTTGATTCATTAAACAGACAAGTAATATAACATAATCGGAATCTCGGAAACGGCTCCAACCATTTTCATGAAATTTAGTGTTCTGGGGTTTCGGGGGCAATAAATCGACATAGCTAGGATTCATTTTTAGAAAATGTCGTTTTATCCGTGTTTACACGTTTCTTTTTCTAGTAGGAAACCCTTTAATTTCAAATTTATTTTTACTATTTGCTGTTATAGCGGCAACAGAAATACACGTTCTGTGAAAATTACAACCATCTACCTGTTACGGATCATGAGATACAGACCGCTGACAGATAGACACACTGACAGCGGAGGCTTCGTAATAGGGCCCTGCTGGTTACCCTTCGGGTACGGAATCCTAAAAAGTACTTAGTTGTCCACTCACATCTGTATGGTTCTTTCTTCAAAGGACCATTAGCTACCTGCCTGGTTCTCGTATGACATGACCTGGACTGACCTCTCTAAGTTTTATTCGGCAGATCGGGTGCTTCTTCTCAGTTTCATGTTTTTGTTGTGTTAGTGTTTTTTAAAAAAACAACTTACAAAACAAATTCTATTTATCATTGACTGCCCTTCTTAGATTCTTATGTAAAAGTAAAGTAAAGTAAAGTTACAGCCTATATACACGTCCCACTGCTGGGCACAGGCCTCCGCTTATTTCTGAGAGGGTTTTAGGGCAAGTAATTGTCCGCCGCGCTGCCCCAATGCGTGTTGGCGAACTTCACATGTCTTCGAAATATATTTTTTTTATTTTTCTGACATGCAGGTTTCCTCACAATGTTTTCCTTCACCGCCGAGCACGTGGTAAATCAGCACTTAAAATTGCATTTAACAATTTCATTGGTGCCGGCGGGGATCGAACCCGGTTTGCTCGCGTACTGTGAAATTTAAAGCGCACGCTAACCATCTGAGCTACCACGGCTCTTAATTCTTATGTACTTACATAAATTACATTAGGTATATTAGGATATGAGATTCCTATACGTAAGCACGATTATCGAAGATCTAAGAATTACCTATTCTAATTAAATTTATAGATAATTTTAAGATTTTCGACAATCCTGCTTATCAATGAGATCTTTTCGTTAGTTGGCAAATTCAAGTAGTTCAGTACCTAATGTACTACCTGTATCGAAAGTTCATTATTATGTACCTATCTGTTTTCAATTTTAACTACATGTGCTTCAACAAGCTTATGGGTACATTTTACCAGCTATATTCATCCCGGCTTCAGCATGTGGACACAAACAAAAGGAAGCAATTTTTCTAAATAAAGATGTAGATATGTAGGTATTAAAACCA